TAAGTGCCAGTTCAGAAATTCTCTTACAAAGTATTGACTAAATATTCTTATTATATTTTTTAGGTGTACCTGTTTGAGTATTCACAAGACCTAATTTATTTTTACCTCAAGGTGATCTGAATAGTAATTCCCAAATGCAATTTGAATACATGATCGTCATTCTCTTGAGGCTCCATAAATCTTAATATCAGATCTTGTCCGTAAATTTTTCTTTAAGCTTTATTGCCGATCATATAACACGCCGCGATGTTCTTTTGGTATTCGGTGATCATGGAATGACACCAACTGGCGATCATGGTGGCGACACACCCGCTGAACTGGATGCCGGTCTACTAGTCTACTCTCCACGAGGCTTTCCTCTACTCTTTTCTGGCCCCGAAAATCCAACTCAGAACAAGAGCTGTAAAACCGGATCCAAAGACGCTAGAGAAGCCACAGAATGCACCGAACTCTCTTTCTTTGATCGTCTGCCTGGTAAAGAATATGTGGATGCCGATACAGGGCTAATGGGCCCATACTTTGGTCTACCAAGAGTCAAAAACGTTTATGCATCTGCTGTACAGCTGTAAGAAAAACATTTGAAAAAATACTATCTAAAGAGCGCTTAATGGATATATTAGACAATTGAATAGGAGACAGTACCAAATGAGTGAACTTAAGACTTATTCCTGACCCAAAATACCGAAATACTTTTAGCCAGAGTTAGGCAGTTTACTGCTCGTACTTTATGCTTCACAAAGAATTTAACAACCAGGTTCCAAATCGTATGCTTTCATTCATACTAATTGCTGACTGCGATTCTTTGTTGGAAAGCTAAACTTTTAGGATTTGTCAGTCAACCAGCTGAAGATCGCAGAGTTCTTTACACAAAGAGTCTTAATGGACATTCCCACTATTAATGTGATTTGGGAGAGGCCTGGCGTACCTTGTATGTCACATCTTCCTTTTGATGCACTAGCATCTGTGGCTGCGTAGTGGAGTGTTAACGTTGCCACGATACTCACGGCCTGGTAGTGACTCCCGTTGGGAGGGCTGAAGAGACATAGGTGGGGTCGGACCTGCAGTATAGTCCAGTCTTGATGGGATAGCCTTTTGGGAGGCAAGTCTAAGTGAAATTCAACGGCATCTTGAGGTCCATTCATCTAATTTTTGACAAATTTAACTATTAGTCTGTAACTGACTAAGTTCTTGATTTATTTGCATTCTTTGTACGGAAAATGGGTTTTTTTCCAACTTTGCCGAGGCGATTATCTGGTTTCATCAAAAATTGAGGTTACGTTTTTTAGCATTAGATCTAATTAATGCATAATTCCTTCTAGCATATTATGGCATCAGGTATATTATGAAAATTGCTGAGTTTCGGGCTTTGCTCGGCTCCTCATTTGACCTTGTTTTTTCCACTTGCTCTTTCATTTCAATACTCTCTTTAAACCATTTACCTTATTTGTAATTATTATCTAACAAAATCCAATAACATATTAACCATTGGTTTCCCGAATGAGCTCACACAGCCCTATTATGATTTCTTTTCATCATATCCAACTAATTTCCAATACTTTCGTCTTCTACGGGTTCAGATCTCTTGGCTCTCACCATGTCCTGGCCCAAGTGGACCTAGTACCTCTGCTCTCGACCTTCTCAGGTACACCAATACCATTTTCTAACCTGGGCATTATCGAGCCCAGCCTTCTCTCCAGCGAGGCCGAAGTCATGTGGGCAGTGGCGGCCAACACGAGACAGGTTATTTGATTGTTCTAATCACCATATCTAGATTTAACTAAGTTTATGATGCAGTTTGTGCTTGATGGTTATAAATTGTGCTGGAATCAGTGCGATTTAGACTGGATGAGTTCTGGGCTAAATCTCTTGTCTCTACGATGCAAATATCACAAAATCAAACGAGCCTAAGTACTCCAATAAATCCTAACAATCTATTGCAAACTTTTCCTCGAGTCATAATAAGTTATTTTGCTCAAGGACTAGTTGCTGAGCTTTTATACCCTGGAAAAAGCAAATATTCTAGAGGAGCACCTATATTTTGTAATGTTGACAGGAACTAGGCCGATTACAGATAATCTTGCAAAAACTAGTGTGCTGGCTTGCTTCCTAAAACCACAATTTTTCTGCAAAACACGCTATGGGAGCTATTGCTTCCAAGTCATCGTTTTCAGTATTTCATTGGCTCTCGATTTCAAATCTAACTGAAAACCATATTTGGAAAGACAATAAGTGAGAATCCTAGTTAATAACTTACTTCTAGAGAGACTGGAAAGACTGGCTAGATGGTATATTTTTATATATTTAATCTTTCGACTTCTTGGATTATTATATATTATAGACATTTTCCTTTTTTAGTGTAAGAAACTAGTTTAGATTCGTATTTCTCGATATATTTTAATGCTAATATCACTGAGAAAAGTTATAGCTTATATTCAAGCATATACGGAGGATATTACTCCTGGAAATTTATTTAAAGATAATCCCGACCAATGAGTACTACCAACTTCTCCGTAAAGTTGTTGGAGGGACTTTCATTTCGTATGAAAGTGCATGAAGAAGAGATTCGTTGGTCGATCTCACCAGATAGGATGGATGAATCCCGTTTTACTGCAGCCGTTTAGCTTTTATATGACGTTCAGGTTAACGCAGTCCACGACACCTCCCTCGTTTCGGGTGAAAACGGGCTGAGCTTTCATCCATCATATGATGGACATCATCAGAGCTGGGTCTCATTCCTGTAAAAGTCTCACGTTAAAACTAGGGCAAGAAGAATATCCGGCTCTATCTTACCTCTTATACAGACTCAATTAAGCCAAAAGAAAATTAAAGACCTAGATAGATAGAGAGTGTAATGAGATGTATTCACCCTATTTCGTGTAAGGTGATGAAGGACTGGTAGTAGAATTTTCCCACA